ATTGCCCAAGCAAGGTACAAGGCTCCCTCTCTTAAGTCCTACAGCCAGTGAGGGGTCAGGGTTAACTCTCCTGCTCTCATACCCTTCGGGCCACCTCTCTCTACTATTGCAAATGGCTAGGGAAGAGGTGGGCATCACTCCTGCAACCATTCACCTCAAGGCAGAGGAGTGGTGGGCCCATCTCTCCCACACTCTTGCACTCAGCCTGGCTCACCTGTGCCCTCTCCACCAGGGTCGGTTCTACTGTGCTGCTCAGGTTAGTGGCACGGCCTGTTCTCTTGAGTGCTGCAGCTAATGAGGGGGTAGGGCCAGACCCTGGGGCCAGTTCTTAACACTGAATATAGGTGGCAAGGGTTGGAGAGGCGGGGAAAGGCATTACTCCCATACCCATGCCATCTCAAGGCAGCAGAGTGATGGGGCCAGCTCTCCTTCCCTCTCCTCAGGAAGGCAGGCTCACCTTCACTCCCACTGCTAGGGTTAGCTCTGCTATGCTGTCCTGGGGAGGTACAGGGCTTGCTCTCCTGAGTGCCACAGCTGGTGAGGGGCAGGGATAGCTCTCCAGTGTTTATGACCCTGTGGGCAGCTTTCCCTACAGCTAGAGGTGGTGGTGGGTAGCATTGCCTCTATGCCCAAGCCACACCACTTATGCCCCCAGGGCCAGCTCTCCTCAGTGCTGAAGCCACTGAGGGTGGGCCCAGTTCTGTACAGCCCTTGGGCATCTACATAGAACCCAGTGGCTGCCCGGATCAGGGATGTTCCTATGTTCTGTAGTGGTAATATGAGCCATGGACATTGACCCTGACCTCTGTGGCTGAGTAGCCACCCAGCCATGGCCCCGGTGGCAGTTTGGGCTGGGACCTCACCATGGCCCCAGGTAGCAGGGCTGGACACTCACAACAGGCTACTCCTCTCCACCCTCAAGTCTACAGTTCCACCTCTCTTCATAATGCTCAAGCTGCTCCACTCTTTCTCTCCCATCTGACCACCACATGCTCGCACATCATGATGGCTCCTCCTGCGGGACGGATGGTTGTGTAGCTGGTGGGCCCCTTGGTGACATCCTCCTTTCACGTTGCATAGTGTCTTTGGCCCACCAGAGGGCAGGTAAGTGGGTGGCATGGAGGTCTGCAGGTCTTGTCTGTCTTCCTCCTCCCACACTGCACTTTGTGATGGTAGGCAGGGCTTTATGTGTCTCTGGCCCACCCATGCAGTGGGCCTGCACTGTATAGCATGGTGGAATGCAGTTCTGTGTGTCTTTCTCCTCCTGTGGGGCACTGCCTGGGTTTGGCTTGATTTGATTAGAGTTTTATGTGTCCGAGGCATAAACAGCTTTGGCCACCAAGCTAGGATGAACAAAGGACTGCCATCTGTCTGCCCATGACTGATAAAAGAACGCCACCACCACCAAGGTGTCTCTTTGCCCATTGCCGGGGGAGTCTGTTCTGTTTTTATCCTGACTCTTTCTTCTCAACATCACAGGAACACAGCTTCTAGCTCACCATCCTATCCCCACCATGGGGTCCACACTTTTGTATTTCTGCTCTTTTAGTGGGATTTATTCTTTACCTGCTGCCAGGATGATAGCGATCTCTCTCTCAGTTCTGGGCATGGGTCCTTTGAAAGCGTCTTTTATTATGCTTAGCTGCTGGCCGTGAATTCCCTTAGTGTTTGCTTATCCTGGAATGTCTCTGTTTTTCTTTGGATTTTGAAGGGTGGTAACCCTCCTGGCAGGAGAGAAGATATTTTAGAGAAAGACTTGTGCTCTTCTGCTGTGAGACTACAAAACAATGGACCCCATGGCACTGGGGTCTCCTGAGGAATCTCTTGCTGGCGAAGGGAAAGGCTGAAGCCTTGGTGCCGGACAGAGTCAAGTTGTTTTTGAGGAAGAGATTTCGCAGAATCCTGACAACCTGTGGGGCAGAACTTGGAGCTGCCGAGACACTGATGCTTTGGTGGTGGGTGGGATCACACTGTGATCAAGACTGTTTAGTTATCTAAACTCAAGCCTGATGTGAGCACCCTAAAGATAGCCTGGCATGTGTGTCCATCCCTGGATCTCTATTTGTTTCTCTTCCTAATGCTTCCACATTGAAACAATTTCTGTTCTATGCTCTTTACTATTATTTGTTTGGTGAGTTGACATAGTGAGCATGGGTAGCCAAGTCAGCTTGTCAGAGCTGCTGTGGTCCAGGCTCGTTCCCAGAAAACTCTGATAGCCTTGTTTGGTTCATAATTATTTTCTCTCATTACCTGCAATGTGTGTCCTCCTGGGCCTGTAGAGTTTCTTGTATTGAAACCTTTGCTGTATGTCTAATGGTGTTGCCTTAAAATGTGGCACAGTGCTTTTTCTTACAGATTTAAAAGTTCCTTTTCCTCTGCTTTTGACTGTTTGATGGTAATCTGTGATGGCGAAAGGGGAATATATTCCTCGTTGGGGATTTTATAGGTCTCCTATAAGGCAGATGTCCATGCCTTTCCCAAGATTAGGGAAGTGTTTTGCTATTATTGCATTGGATATACTTTAAAAAAATGTTTTTTATGTGTCTGGGTATTTTGTCTTCATGTATGTCTGAAGGCCTGGTGTCTGTAGAGGCCAGAAGGGGAGTATCAGATCCCCTGAAACTGGAGTTACAGATGGCTGTAAGTCTCTGTGAATTCTGGGAATGGAACCCCAGTTCTCTGGAAGAGAGCCAGCACTCTCCACCACCAAGCCATCTCCCAGCCCCCAGCACGGGGGATCTTTTCATAACTTTTATTTTCCCAGTGATGTTGATGTTTGATGTAGACAGTGCCTGCAGATCCTGGCCGCTATCTGATATCTGTCTTTCTTCCTTCTTTATTTCTTTCTAGATGTGCAATTTGAAAGAGATAGCTCTTTTGAGTTCCCATAATCTTTCTTCTACTTGCTCTAGTCTATGGGGGAGGCTTTTTTTAATTTGCAATGTGATTTATAGAACTTAAGATTGATTTTTTAAAAAATCCTTTTATTCAATTTCTTGCTCTCATCCTGGATTCTTGTCTTAATATTATTTTAATTATCTGTATTTTCTGGAATCTCATTAGGATTTAAAATATCTTTTGACTTATTTTAAAAATATTTAATTTATCTTTGTCTTGGACACTTGTTGCTAGGAAACTATGATCTTCAGGAGGTGTCATATATATTCTTTTTCATATTTCTTGTGTTGCTGTGCTGAGATTTACATATCCAGCAGAATGGACATCTCTTGATGCTCTTGGAATGGCCTTAGTCCTAAGCAGCTTTCTAAAAGCTGTGTCTTGGGGGTTGTTTGTTATACAGTACTGACTTTGTTTCCGGCTAGGAACTACAGTGTAATCTCTCTGAAGCCTCTTTGACTGTGCCTGGTGCGTTTGGGCACAGCGTACTGTATTGGAGGCTGTGAGGCTCACTGTCTTCGCAGGTTGTATGAGAATGGGGGCGCAGACTCAGTTCAGGCAAGAGTGATGAGTATGTGCAGTGCGGCACGTGTGGTCCCTCCTGCAATGGCAATGGTAGCCTCTATGGCCTGCTGGGGGTTTCCTCAGCACTGCGGCCCTCTGAAGGAGTCTGGTGCCGGCTGTGAGTAGAGGTGAGGGCGCTGCAGCACTTCCCCGCCCCTTAGACTGGGCACAGATGTACGTGCTTTGCAAGCGGAGTCAAGCAGGAACCACAGCACGTGTGACACACACTCGGTTTTCTCGGCACTTGTGTGATCAGACAAGGTTTTGGGGTGACCAGTGTAAGAGATCCACATGGGCGTGGTAGTAGCCAGAGGAGAGCTGCTCCTCTCTTCTGTTACTGTGGTCACGGTGGTCAAGGGGTAGAACTGGCGCCGTGCACCCCACCCCAGCCGTGTGGGGTTCTCTGGCCTTCCACTTGTCGTGTCTGCCAGTCATCAGGTAGGAGTGGGCCACAGCTGGAACTGGGTAAGATTCCTGAGGTGCTCCCAGGAGTGAGCCAGAGCCGAAGCAGCCAACATCTGTCAGTTTCTCGTCATGTGCGCGTCAGGGGTGGAGCACCAGCAGGAATCACCTTGGTATTGCTCCAGGCCACCCAGAATGCCTGGGCAGGCAAAGAGTAGTGGAAACTCAGAGTTCTTCCTCCTTTTTCTTGGCAACAAGCCCCGGCTTGTGGTGCTGGAGAGAGGACCCCCACCCCTGGCATCTGTGGTAGGCTGCAGAAGGCTGACTACACACTTCTGGACCAAGAGCAGGCTCTCCCAACCCTGGTTCTCGAGAGTGGCACCTGGTGTTTCCCTCCATATCACTGCTTTCTACACTGGGTCCTTCACAGTGAGTCATTCCCCTGGGGCAAGTCTGGCCTGTACCAAGGCAGCTACCCACTGACTTACCAGGGAATGTTTGTGGGGCCCAGGGACAGGAACACACAGCAGTCTCTGACCTCTCAAGTAATCCAAACTCAAACAACGCGTTCTTCCCATGTTGGCTCCTGGCTGCAGCACCCTGGGTGCTTGCTAGGAGGGGAAATGAACTCCTTTTCCAGAGCCAGGATTTCAGGTTTCTCATCCTCCTAGGCTGTTAATCCCTGAGGCTTGTGGGACTTTGCAGTGCCTAGGATTGCTGGTGTTTGCACCAACAGAGTTTCCTGGGACTCTTCCAGCTTTGCCCTTGCACAAGATACTCTGGCTATGGATCTGAGCAGCAGGTGCTGGGACATTTTATTTTTCTTATAATGCTGCTGTCTCAGATCTCTCTCTCTGTTTAAAAAGGTACATTAGTGTGTGTGCATGTGTAGTCCAGAGGTTGATATTGGGCATCTTGTTCAGTCATCCTACACTTTACCTTTTGAGATGGGGTCTGTCATTTACTCAGAGCTCACTTACTCGTCCAGGCTGGGTAGCCAGCAAGCCCCAAGGAGCCTTCTGTCTCTTCCTCCTCAGTGTTGACATTGTAGGCATGTTATGCCCAGTTGGCGTTTTTAAAATCTATTTTAACTTTTAGGTGGGTTCTGGGCGTCAAACGGAGGCTCACCACTTTACGGAGCAGCCGTACCCGAGCTCCATTTCCTGTCTTGGCTGTTGCACTTCGGCACTGTCGTGTGGTTATGCGGCTCACTCTGCGGCTCACCACGAACCCTGCTTGGTTCCTCTACGAGGAGGAGCAGGCACATGCTGAGAGCTTCCCTGTAGTTTCCCTGCTACCCTCTCACACCTAACAGTACCTTTATATATATAATAAACACGCTAATTTATGCAAAAAATCTAAGAATGGGCAGTCAGTAAATTCTGCCAAATGTACTTTAAAACAGTAACAGCAGAAGAGGGAGGCAGGGTAGGATTGGGAGGGGATGAGAGAGGGGGCTACAGCTGGGATACAAAATTAATACATTGTAATTAATAAACAAAAATTTAAAAATAAATAAACAGTAACAGCAGGGCCTGGAGAGATGGCTCAGCGGTTGAGAACATTGACTGTTGTTCCAGAGGCCCTGGGTTCAATTCCCAGCAACCACATAGCACCTCACAACTGTCTATAACTCCTGTTCCAGGGGATCTGACACTGTCACATAAACATATATACAGTCAAACACCAATGAATGTAAAATAAAAATATATTAAAAAACCCAGTAACAGCAAACAGCTGACCCATTGGATGCCTAGACATCTGTTCAAATGTCTAGTGCTTTTGGTGTGTGCTCCTAGTCCAGTGACCTTGTGTCCCAGTTTGCCCACGGCAGTCCCAGGCCTCACCTGTTGCCCTGGCATTATTGTAATAGCAGCACCCCTTACTCTCAAAGGCTCAGCTGGGACTTCAGCTTGATTGTTCTGGCAGAGTGCTGGGGCAGTTCCTCCATCGCAGTACAGGTCACTTCTTTTCTCAGCGTTCGGTCCATTCTCCACTGCTCTGTAAGATGCCACTTTTTAAAAAGCCCATCGACGTGTCACCTCGTTCTCTGCGCCTCACCACAGTTCTTCTCCTGGGTCAGGCAGCAGAACCAAGCTTCAGACAAGAACCCGTCTGCCTAAAGACTCTTTCCCTTTCTGCCAAATCACCTGGTTTTAATTTGACTCATCATACCATAAAGAACTTTTAGGTTGTGATTCTATCATTTTTTTCTCCAGACACAGGGTTTCGCTGTTGTAGCCTTGGCTGTCCTGAACTTTGTAGACCAGGCTGACCTGGAACTCACAGAAATCTGCCTGCCTCTGCTTCCCTGAGAGCTGGAATTATAGGTGTGTACCAGCACGCTTCGCTATTATTTTTTAACTTTATTCTGCTTGTACTTTTTTTTTATTCATTCAGCATCTGATGAGCCCTTGCAGCATGGGAGGATGCATTCCAGCTCATAAGGCCTTTCTTCTAGAGAGCTGCCATTTGAAAAGCTTGTTTTATGTTTCAAACCAAGCAAGCAGGGCTCCCAGAGCAGGACTACTGTGGTGGCTATTCCTGGTTGTCAACTTGACAACATTTAAAATCAACAAAACATCAAACAGCTGGTACACCCATGGGGGATTGAATTAACTGGATCATTTGAGGTTGGAAGACCCACTGTAACTCTGGGCCACACCTTCTGTGGCATTGATATAAAAGAAGAAAGAAGCTCCTGCTTTTCACCTGCTCATTTTCACTGGCAAGCTCATCTACCATGCTGCTGAGGCATCCCTTCACCGGCATCAGGGCCTACTTCAGAATGCTAACATATACTGAAGACCAGCTGAGATGTTGAGCCGCACGGACTGAACAACCGCTGCATTTTTTAATTTGTTGGACTAGCTGGACCACACTGTAAGCCACTGTAAAATCCCATATATGTATGTGTGAATGGGATTCATTAGAATAATTGTAATATATATATATATGTAATTTATATATATATATATGTAATATATATATATATGTAATATATACATATATATATATGTAATTTTATTCTATCAATTCTGTTCCTCTGGAGAACCCCAACTGATACAGCTTCCCAGAAGGCTGATTTAAAGTCATTAGATACTATCTTCTGGATTAACACCAGCTAAAAAGTAGAATTTAGTTATCAATTAATAGATAATGAGTCTGTATTATCACAGAACCTAAATTTTCCTTGTCCAAAGAAAAACCCACTTTTAAAATATTCCTTTTAAAACATTTCATGCCTAGGCCTGGAGAAACAGCTCAGCAGTTAGATCACCTGCTGCTCTTCCAAGGGATGTGACTTGGTTCCCAGCACCTCTGCCAGCTCACAGACGTTCCTGTGGTTCCAGCTCTTGTGGCCTCCTTGGGTACCCGCACACAAGTGGCACTCACTCACACCCATACATAAATGAAAATAACTACCTCGCGTCTGTCTCACTTCCTGGGCTTAGTCTGACATGAAAGAAAAATATTAGCTGCTTGAACTTTTTCATCTTTGGCGAGTCAGCAGTGATTCCTGCTGGCTCCTCAGTGTTCTAAGCGACCACATATTGCAACGGTCTGCTTTAGATCTGTTGTGGTTAATTAGTTACAGAACCACAAGCGTCCTGCAGTTTCTGTTTCTGTTTTTTTTTTTTTTTTTTTCTTTTTGAGGTAGGGTCTCATGCAGCACAGGCTAGCCTCAAATTTACTATATAGTCCAGCATGGACTCAAACTCCACCGTATCCTCCTGCCTCAGCCTCTCTAATGCTTGGAAGAGGTGTGTGTGTCACTATGGCTGTCCTTTATGTTTTGAAAATGAAGCTTTTCCTTTATTCCCCTGGTTCTTCTTTTATTTGTTAAGAATCCTTGAAGACATAGTTTTCTACTTTTTTGCCTTCTTTATAAATATAAAATAATTATAAATAGACTGTTATTTATATCATAGGTATAAGTTTTAATTGTTTTTGTCTTTAATTTTTAAGATAGGGTCTTATTATATAGCCCAGAATGCTCTTGGATTTGAGAGCCTCCCATGTTCAGAAGTTGTAGGTATGCACCACCACTCTAGCTATGTCTGCTTCTTTAGGTAAGCCAGATCCTGTCTTAAAATCTCACCCGGCCTTGGCTTCAGCCACATCTCTTTGTTGAAGATTGGAAAACTTTACTAGTTGATATTTAGTTAGCGCCTGCTCTGTGCCCAGTAGTACTGTAAACGTCTCCCTCAGACAGCGTTGCGTCAGCATGAGCTAGGTGTGTGGGGAAGGCAAGGCCGCGTGGTGCTGAGGCACAGGGCTCAGACTTCCAGAATGATGTGAGGGTGAATGGAGGCCAGGGTATCCTGAGAATGAACGCTGACCAAGTTCTTGATTCTTCTAACGTCATTCTGATGTGATAAAATTAATCTCCCCTATAGAACTCCTCACTTCACTGATAATTCAAGGTCTTAACTTACAGTAAGTATTCTTTTACTTCATAATGATGAAGGTCCTCAAACAGATGGGTTTTGATGCGGGCTGGGGGGTGGACAGGGAGTAACAATTTGAGGCAAACTGTGTACTTGATTTTTTGCACACTAGCCAGTGCCTATTTATTTGATCTTCCTCATAATAATGAAACAAAGACTGCGTGTGACAGTATGTGGCCTCAAAGACTGTGAAGCAGTGAAACTCACTTGCTCTCTGGGCAGCAGATTGGTCTACACATGTACTCTCTCTCTCACACACACATTCATCTCTCTTTATAGATTCATTTTTCTTCCTGGCAGGATGCTGTAACCAGTGAGTTTACTTTTTCTTGGTTTGTGTCAGGTTTACTTCCCCCGGGAGATTTCAGCTTCTGTTGAATTCTCAGTAACATGAATATAGTATTTTCTTATGACCAGTGTGATTGGAAGTAGCTGCAGAGAGAGAGAGCCATATCTCTTCTGTTCCCTGCTGCAGTGTTAGGTCTGAGAGGTGGCAGTGGCATGTTGCCACGTGAGTCACATATGCAGACTAACTGGTGAAGGACTGTATGTCAAGTTTACATTTCTTCTATTTTGCTGGTATTTTGTTGTTGATGATGAACTGTATACAGATGAACTGTATGCAAATGTATACAGATTTATGAATATATATTCATATATATATTATATATATAATGGGTAGGTATATGAGAGTCTCTAAAAATGTTGCCACTAGAAAGGAACATGGACTTCCTAGGCATTCAGCGAAGCTTTGTTAGCTTTGTGAAGGTTTGGTGCCCACCCCAGCTGTCATCAGTAAGATCGTAATAGAAGAGTGTTTTTCAAGGGTGGAGTCTAGACCTCTCTTGTCACTTGCATTACAAGCCTCAAGTAGCTTCAGAGGCTGGTGGAACTGCTCATTGTCATTCTCATGCTGCTCTCTGCCTCTAAGTGGGAAGACCAGGAGCCCTGAACTCCAGAGGAGAGGAGAACCTCAGTGTGCAGGGTGAGCATATCTCAGAGGCGGAAGGCCAAACCTGTGACCTCTGCTGGCTTCCTCTGCATATGTCATTTTTTTTCCTCCTTCTCCTTCTACCCTTCCTTCCTTCCTTCCTTCCTTCCTTCCTTCCTTCCTTCCTTCCTTCCTTCCTTCCTTCTTTCTTCTCTCCCAGGCTGGCCTTGAATTCACAAGTATCCACCACTGCTTGCCAAGTGCTGGGATTAAAGGTGTGTGCCACCATGCCCAGCCAGATGCCATCATTTTAAACTGAAAGTATATCAGTGTTTAATTGTGTGTGTGTGTAGTTCTGTACTTAAAACTCATCTCAAGTTCTTATCAGTCAGTGTAAAAATTTATTTTTTTTCCTCTCTCAAAATGCTTTGAAGTTCGTTTCTATGGTAATGAGCGATTCTTTTTTCTTTTTTTAATTTTAATTTTTATTAATTACACTTTATTCACTTTGTATCCCCCCATAAACCCCTCCCACCTCCCCTCTTAATCCCACCTTCCCTTCCCTTTCTCCACACATGCCCCTCCCCAATCCCACTGATAGGGGAGATCTTCCTCTCCTTCCTTCTGATCCTAGTCTATCAGAGCTCATCAGGAGTGGCTGCATTGTCTTCCGCTGTGGCCTGGTAAGGCTGCTCCCCCCTCAGGGGGAGGTGATCAAAGAGCAGGACAATCAGTTCATGTCAGAGACAGTCCCTGTTCCCATTACTATGGAACCCATTTGGACACTGAGGTGCCATGGGCTATATCTGTGCAGGGGTTCTAGGTTATCTCCATGCATGGTACTTGGTTGGAGTATGAGTCTCAGGAAAGACTCCTGTGCTCAGATTTTTTGGTTCTGTTGCTCTACTTGTGGAGCTCCTGTCTTCTCCAGATCTTACTATTTCCCACTTCTTTCATAAGATTCCATGCATTCTGCCTAACACTTGGCCATAAGTCTCAGCGTCTGCTTTGACAGTCTGCAGGGCAGAGGCTTTCAGAGGCCCTCTGTGGCAGATTCCTAACTTCTTTCCTGTTTTCTTCTTCTTCTGATGTCCATCCTCTTTGCCTTTTGGGATGGGGATTGAGCATTATAGCCAGAGTCCTGAAATCATCCTAAGTGAGTTATCCCAGACGCAGAAAGACACACACAGTATATACTCACTCATATAGACATATAATATAGGATAAAGCTACTAAAATCTGTAATGAGCTATTCTTAAGCTTAAGTAAGGAGGCAAGAAAAGCAACTGTTTTTAATTCAGAGCAGCAGTGCCATCTACTGGCCACTACCTCAAATTACAACTAAGAACCAGCATGTGAAAGGTATCTGTCACCCTTTACAGCTCCAGGTTTATATAACTTGAAGGGTTTGTTTTTTTTTTTTTTTATTTTTTTTTATTTCTCCAAACAGAAAAGACTGTGGACTTCTATAAGGCCCATTAATATCTATTTTTTTATTCTTTAGTAATTACACTTTATTCACTTTGTATCCCCCCTGTGGTTCCCTCCCTCCTCCCGTCCCAACCCCTCCCTTCCTCCACCCTCTGCATGCATGCCCCTCCCCAAGTCCACTGAGAGGGGAGGTCTTCTTTTCCTTCCTTCTGACCCTAGTCAATTAGGTCTCATCAGGAGTGGCTGCATTGTCTTCTTCTGTGTCCTGGTAATGTTGCTTCCTCCTCAGGGGGAGGTAATTAAAGAGCAGGCCAATCAGTTCATGTCAGAGACAGTCCCTGTTCCTATTACTATGGAACCCACTTGGATAATGAACTGCCATGGGCTACATCTGTGCAGGGGTCTTAGGTTATCTCCATGCATAGTCCTTGGTTGGAGTATGAGTCTCAGGAAAGACTCCTGTGCTCAGAATTTTTGGTTCTGTTGCTCTCCTTGTGGAGTTCCTGTCCTCTCCAGATCTTACTGTTTCCCACTTCTTTCCTAAGATTCCCTGCACTTTGCCCAAAGGTTGCCCATAAGTCTCAGCATCTGCATTGATAGTCTGCAGGGCAGAGCCTTTCAGAGGTCCTCTGTATCAGGCTCTTGACTTGTTCCCTCTTTTCTCCTTCTTCTGAGGTCCATCCTCTTTGCCTTTCTGGATAGGAATTGAGCATTTTAGGAAGAGTCCTCCCTCTTGATTAGTCTACACAATGGAATATTACTCGGCAATAAAAAACAAGGAAATCATGAAATTTGCAGGTAAATGGTGGGATCTGGAAAATAACATCCTGAGTGAGCTATCCCAGAAGCAGAAAGATGCACATGGTATATATTCACTCATGTAGACATATACTATAGGATAAACTTACTAAAATCTGTACACCTAATATCTAATTTTTAAAACACAGTAACATTGAAAA